CGTCCGGAGACTTCGTCCATCACCGTGTCTGGCTCGAGGCCGGGAGTCTCGGCGGGGCCAGGAACAGTGGGTACCCCGGTCTGCTTCTCGGCCGTCTGGTCGGGAGGCGTAGTGCGTCGCGGGCGCTTGTTGGTGCGCCAGGTGGAGAGTCCGCGAGGGCTGAGCGCCTGCACGTCGAAGTAGTCGAGGACGGAAAGCCACTCGCAACTGGCGTAGAACTCCCAGAGGCGCGCGAGCGTCTGCTGTAACGGCCGCGCGGCAGTCGGCTCCGGCTCCGGCTCCGGCTCCGCGTGCGCCAAGAGCGAGGCATCGTCCAGCCACAACAGGTAACCTTCCAGCCAGGCGATCACTCCCAACCGGCCGGCCGGACAGGCGACCTCCACACGCGCCAGTCCACCGCACTCACGCCGGCGAAAACTTAGGTGCGCGCGGTCCGTCAGCTCCGGCACCGCGAACTGCTTCACTAACTGTACCTCGCCCGGCGCCTCCCGGTCGCCCTCCGCCCGATCCCTCACTCGATCTCCCTCCCGGTCGCTGCGTCGCAGGAGGCCGAGGGCGTTGCGTTCGAGGAGGACAAGGCAGTGTGCGGCGTCGAGCGGGACAGAGGCGCGCACGGCGGGCCCGCAGAAACCGAGCAAGCGCCGCGCGCGCCCGTGAAAGAGGTCCTGCACACTCGCGTCGCGGCTACCGAGCAGCCAGCAGTCGCCAAAGAGGGGGAGCAGGCGCGCGTAGCAGTGCGCAAGCGGGACCTGCGTCGCACTCGTAACGCTCAGCGAACTAGGATCCAAGACCAACAACGCCAGACTCTGCGTCGTCAGGACCGCCACGCTGTCAACCGCCAGCGCCACGTCCACCGGCGCGCCCGCCAGCCGCACGCACGCCTCCACCGTCAGCAGCGGCGGCAACTCCAGATCGTCCAGACCCGCACCCGTCGGGCCGGCGCCCTCCAGGCCCTCCTCCAGGCCACCCTCTTGTAGACCGGCGCCCTCCTCCAGAGTGGCACGCGCTTTCGCGGACACGCACTGCGCCCGCGGGACCCAGTGCAGACAGCCGTCGGCGCCGCGGCAGAGGAGGCGGTCGCCATCGCGCGCCAGCAGCTGCGCCAGTTCACGCCGCTCGGGCTCACCCCGCGGCGTGTGCGCGGCCAGCACCTGGTGGCTGGGCACAAACGCGAGGTGCGGGTCGCAGCTGCAGAACGCAGATTCGAGCAACCCGGACAGCCTCTCACGGAGGAGGTAGAGCGCATTTCCACCACCCCCCGCCGTGAGCAGACAGATGAGGCCGGGGCGCGCGCGGAGGAGGACGGGTGGGTCGGCGAGCGGCCACGCGAGCGGCGCGGCGCACTTGGCGCACTGGCGACTGGCGCGGGCGTGGAGCGCAGGGCCGGCGCGGTGGTCGATGACGCCGAGGAAGTAGACGCGTTGGTCGGGGCTGCGGAGTTCAGAGCCGCAGGTGACACTGGCACCGCGAACGGGGAACGAAGCGCGGCGCGGAGCGGCGACCCAGCGCCGTTCCCGCATCAACAGGTGGTCGTCAAGTCGCCGGCTGCGACAAACGGACACGACGACGATCGCCGCGGCGCAGCGCTGCACCGCCAGCACGCGCTCCTGCTGACCCAACGCCAGTCGCCGCCCGCGCCCCGCCAGCAACGCCCCCGCCGCAAGGAACCAGACGGCGCCGTCCTCGCCCAACACCGGGAACCCAAGTTTGGGCAACGAACGTACGCGCCGGCAGCAACCTCGCTCTGGAGCGAAACAAAACAACTCCGTCTCCGTCGCGTAGTACACGCACTCGCCGTCCACCCTCGATACTAGACGGAAAGCCGCACCCGCCAACGCAAACTCCGACTCACTCCGCGCGACTCCACCAGAGGCCGCTCCGCCGGAGACGAACGCCCCACCCAAGGCCTCGCGGTAGAGGGAGACGCGGAAGCGCAAGAGCGCCTCGGCGAGCTCGACCTCGACCACGACGGTGGCTCGGCGGTCTTCGAGGTAGAGCGCGTCGGCGAGGAGCGTGTGGGTGTGCAGCGTGTGCGCGGCGAGCAGCTCGGCAGCGCACTCCGTGTCGGAGACGCGCAGCCAGTGCAGCTCGCAGCGCCGGGCGAGCGAGCCGGCCGCAGGCGCCCCGGGTTGAACGACGGCGAGAGCTCGCAGACTGCGGTAGCCGGTTCGCGCGACGGCAACGACGTGGGCGGGACAAAGCGGCGCAGGCGCAGCGCAGGCAGTCCACTGCGCACAGTCCTCCGAAAGCCAGACCGAGCGCGCACCGCGGAGCACTGCGCAGAACAATCCCTTGGCGCCGAAGCCCGCCAAGTGCGGCAAGTGCGGCAACACGGCTCGCGAATACGCCCCCGGCGCACCGCCCCGCACCCGAAAGGCGCCCGCCCTAGCGCCCAGCATACCACACGCGCGCGGCACGGATTTCGGCACCACGAACTCACGCAACTCGTCCGCCTCACCCGCACCCGCCACGATCAAACGCGATTCGAAGGCACAAGGCGCCACCGCCAATCGCGCCGCTGCAAACTCCCTCAACGCATGTCCCGGCGGCAACAACGGCACACCGCACGCTCCACGCCTCGCCAGCGGACGGTTCACCACGAACCCGCCGCCGTCCAGCTCGAACACGCACTCTCCCGTCTCCACCTCGCTTCCTGAACCCCTCGGACTGCCCGGGGCCCACGTGTTCCAAATAGAGACCTTCATGCCAAACTCTGCGGCGGGAGCCGCCGCAGGGGCCGTGGGCGCCGCCGGGGCCGTGGGCGCTTTGCGGTAGAGACAGAGCCCGAGGCGCTGGACCTGCTGGAGGATCTCGTAGGAGGCAGCCGCAGGCGCGCTGAGTGCGAGACGCCGGCCGAGGCGCACGCTCGAGAGGAAGGGGCTGCGGCGCACGAACTCAGCCAGCGCGCCGCGGCTGCCGGCGACCTCGAGCAGCCGTTCGGGCGTGACGCCGACGTGGTAGAGCGTGAGCCGGTCGAAGCTGCACTCCGGCAGCTGCGCGGTCTCGGCGACCGGCACCGCCGCGGCGCGACCCGCGGGCACGTAGGTCACCTTGAGCTGGCGCAGAGTGCACTCCAACATGAAGTGGCCCAGGTAGTTCTCGCGCGCGTGCGCTGGCCCCGCGACCACCGGGTAGTAAGCGGCGCCTTCATTGTCCACGAACTCGCCGGTGCACGCGATCACCTGCGCAGAGGAGGGAGCCAGTAGGCCCCCCGGACTGCCCCCTGGGCCCGAGTTGCCCTCCGGGTCCGGGCCTTGGCCGCCGAGGGGCCCGGTGCTGCCCAGGCGGCCCTGGCCGATGGGGTCGAGGTTGTAGCAGAGCAGCTGCCCCCTCTCGTGCGGGAAGAGGTGGCGCGGCTGGCCTCCGGTGCGGAGGAGGTCGATGGCGCTCTCCTCGGCGGAGCTGAGACGACCGGGCCCGGGCTCCTGCAGCGGCAGCGTCTGGGCGAGGGCACAGTAATGCACCAGGCGCAGGCCGAGCGACTTACGCGCACAACCCGGGTCCCAGACCGCGTTCAGCACGTCCGCCAGCGTCACGTCCCAGCTGGGCGCCACGGAGAAACGCACCACCGTGCGCGGTCCCAACCGCAAGTACAGGTGCCAATCCAACACGTGCCGCACATGCAGCAAACTGGGCGCCTCCAACGGCTCGTACACGTTCCCGAACGCAAAAGACCGACTCGCACCCCGCGCTGATGTAAAGGTCACCAGCGAACCCGAAGTCCCCAAGACACTCACTGCACACAGCAACGGCCCGCCACCCTCCTCCGTCTCCTCCATCGCCACAAACGCATCCAGTAAACGACTCATCGGCGCAGTCGGCACCGGACACAGACGCGTCGCCAGCCTCCGCAACTTCAACGCAGCCGCCCCCACCCGCAACGCCATCCGCCCCGTCTTGCGCCCCCGACTCTCCTGCGACGTCGGGCTCTCCTCCAGCACACCCTTGGCCCTAAAGAAACGCTTGTGTCCACCGGCGTTTGCATCGGCGTTTCCAACGATGTTTCCACCGGCGTGTTGCCGATTTGTGCAACCGACGTCCAATCGACGCAGCCCTCTGGCAACTTACGCGGCGAGGTCTACCACCCCCAGTTGGTTTTCATTGAACAGCAATATCCAGCGTTCCGTCTTCCGTTCGACCTTCGTCCATTCTCCGTCAAACACCCCTAAGACATTGTTCTTTTGGTGGACAATGCCGCCAGTCATAAAAAGTTATGCGGCGCTGTGCAGGTATTCAACGTTGCGCAGGGACTCGATGGCCTGGGGGGGGAGGTTTCGCTCCAAAACCGCCTCATCGAAGCGGCCCTCGAAGGGCTCGGTGAGCGTGACCTGGCAGCGTATGGGACACTCGACGTGCGTAGCCAGCCACTCGTCTATGCAGGCGGCGTGGAAGGCGTGTGCACACGGCAGCACCCGCAGCGTCTCGTCCTGTGCGTAGGACTGCAGGCACACGAGGCACATGGAAGAAGAAGTGGAGTGCTTCAGGTCCTCCACGCTCCTGACCTTCCAGTCAGTCTGCCAGACCAGGGTGGGGAAGGACTCGAGACAGCGGGGCGGCACGGACTGAACGCGGCTGGTGCGAGCACCCAACGGAGGCAGCCGCACCAGCGACGGGGGACTCATCAGCGAGATCCACCCACTGAACGTGGTGGTGGCCTTCAAGGCGAAAAACGTGGTGTAGAGGATGAAGACCACCAAGTACCCGAACAGGGAGGCCATGGCAAATTTCGATATAAGTCTGCAAGAGTCAAGATGCCAAAGCGGAATGCATACCTTAAAATAGCGATCGTTTCGGTCTCTACTGGATCCAACGTGATCAGAGGCCGTCCACCCGACCGCTGCAAAACGAAACTAGTTGGAAGGAGCTCTTGTCCGTTCGCGAGCGGCTTCATAATCACCGTGTACCGTTTATAAAGTGTTAGCAGCTGGTAGCTAATGCACCACCACAACACGTCGAGAATGTGTAGCCATCGCGAAACTGATAGCTTAGAGGACTGTATCAGCATAACTAGAGGCATTCTGATATCAAAGTTTCGCTGAGCCTCCTGCAGCCATTTCAGCTCCTCCATTATCATGGTGATGATCACGCATCTGCAACCACTCAAGGCAATTATGAGCGTCAGCCATCCCGTTAAACGTTCCCGTATTTCTGACAGGGGCATTCGAAGACAGAAAAACATAAACCAAGTTCCAAAGACAAAGTGAAACGTACATTCCATGAGCTCACATCTGATTCAAAGACAGATCCTCGTATTTGGCGGACAACTCACCTTAAAAACCAATGCATACCAGTCACAATTCTTGACGGGTGCACCTTTATCCGCCGCCGTTCTGCCGGGGCGTCATCATCAGTAGTAGCCCCCACAATAGGGTAACCGTCTGCGGTTGTTCTCCGATTCGCGAAGTCGAAATCATCCAAGCGGTTCAAGAATGTTGCATACCAAGCAGGTGGTGGTAACTGATCATCCGACTCAACTGGTAGAATTTCACTTCTGGCGTCTATCTCAAGTGACTCATGACTGGCCATCGAACGAACATTGGACGTCGGTGGCGGAGGGATCGCGCTGAAGGTCTGGATAGCTGATCCGGAGTGGATTCCCTTTTTTTCCTTAACTTGTTGATTTGAACACACGTGTGTGCTGCGCTGAAGAATCTATAATTTGGTTACTGCTAACTACTAAAAGCTACTAAAGTCACCTTGTTTCTAATGACAGCATGATTTCGGCAAAGAGTATAAACATCCGAATTCGGTCGACCACACCTAGCCGGCCTTTTTTGTTCAAGATCGCGTTGACTCTGTTTTTAATTTCCTGGTCTGATCTCGCTTGCTGCAAGGCAGTGATCGGTACGGGGAATTCAGTTGGAAGTTTGAGTTTTCCGTCCATTATGAGTCTTGGCGCACTATGCTTTCGTAGGAAAATCGCCTTTAGCCCAGACCATCTAAGTTTCATCTGAAAGGAAGGAATGCGAGGATCATTGACGCGGGAAGAGGCGGTGATAGCAGTGGCTTACATCAAAAGATTTGAAGTGCTGCAACGAGTACCAATCGATATCGTAGGCATTATTAATTCTTTTAACATTGAATACTTGATTTCTGAAGAGGATTTCGTATGTGATGGCCTGGTTTTCGATTGGTTCCATTTTGATAACATTTGGTAGAGTATTGAGTACAGGGTCATCTACGGAATTCCGCATATTCTTCTCAGGAAGGATTGTTAGGTAGAAGATGCAGGACTCCTTGCTGTGTTTGGCATCGCCGAAGGGCACGAATCGGTAACTTAGCCCCTTGACGACGGGGTCGAGATCTGCAATATTTTCAATGACGATGTCGCGCATCATTCTCGTAAAAGCTTTTCCGTCCTCGTCAGCGTCCGTGCTTGCGGCTTCCGACAGGTACCAGTTCCGCCCACTGGCGCTAATCTCCTGTTCGGCCAGGCACCACAATGCCTTTTTGCGCAGACACTGCAAGTCTGAACCGACGAGACGCGCTTCGGAGACGGGTCGCGATCCGGGCGTGGACTCCTCCGAAGTTTTCACACAGTGAGATGACTCCCACTGATGGCGCACCAACTTCTCCAGCAACTTGTTACGCACCGCAATCCCCCCACTCTCCCCCGAGAAGTCGCCACTGCCCGCTGAAAACTCCCCACTCTCCCCGGCAAAGTCCTCGGCAAAGTCCCCGCTCTCAGTGAACCCTGCGTCTGAAGCACCTCCGTCTGAAGCACCTCCGTTTGAGACACCTCCGTGGGCAGCACCTTCGTCTAGACTTTTCGGGACTCCACCTCCGTGGGAAACCCCGGGCCCCGCGACAAGGGAACCGCCCACAATCTTCACGCTGGCTTGCCAATCCGGGCTCATGTGAGACTCGTCTACTACCGCATATCCGTCGTCATCGTCATCCTCAAGCTTATCGGCGGATTCCAGCGCCTCATCTAGTAAACTCACGGTGCTCCGACCCGCGGCGGCGCCCTGTCCGGACAGCGGCAGAGCATCGTCCCGAAGTTCGCCGTCCCGAATTAGGTCGTGTAATTCGGCGGACAACTTCTGGCATTGGCCCAGCTGGACGCGTTCCGGTAGTTTCTGTTGGCTGCTCCCGAACAGCTCACAGAGCTCCAGCGCCCACTGACATTCTCCCTGCGAGATGTAGTCTTGGACGAGTTCCTTAAGGACCGGAATGGTGTCACTATATGCTGCCGCGCCCAATGTGTCAACGACCTGGTTCAGCTTGCGCGACCGGTCCCCGTTGTTGAGCTTGTGCGCATTCAGCTTGATCGGGTTCTCGTCAAACCAGCCCATTTGCGCGTCCGCCACCGCCTTCACTGCCCACTCCAACTGTCCGTAATACGGCATCAACGGATCTGTGAGCATGTTAGACACCACGTCCTGGTTCAGGTTGGCCTCCACGCTCTCCACCGACCGCGACCACGCGCTTCCCGCGTTACGACCCATGGTTCGGAGCGGTCCTCGACTGCTCGAAGCCGTGTTGATGTCGGCCCCAGACTGCCCGTCATAAGGTCGGTGGTGTCCAAAGGATCGGTCCCTGCTCATACGTCGTGCGACGTCCAGAGAGCCCTTGTCGTCGAGCGGGCCTTCGTTATCGTTTTCAAGCATCTTCTCAGGTACGAATTGCGGGAAGGCGGTCCAGAAGAGGGAGTTAACATGATCGGCAATAAGGTTGATGTCACTTGTCTTATCCAGGAGACGTATGGTCTGATGTTGCACAAAGGCGAGTGCATCACGATATCGCTCGACGATATAACGAATTGCGTCGCGGCCGAAGACAGGGCTGGTGTGTCCTAGAGTGGCGACTTTGGTTTTACTCCAGTATTGGTGGAGATAGACGTCGAGACTTTCTTGCCAGACCGCGGGGGAGCGGTAGGGGCCTCCTCGGAGAGGATAGACGTTGGGAAAAGAGAAGTAGAAGTTGTCCGAGAAGTGGAAGAGACTGAGTTGGGGTACGAAGAAGCATACCTGGTCTTGCGTCTCGCCCGGCAAGTACAAGGCTTGGATACGCAGGTGCGGCGACAGTGGCACATCGAGACTGGCACCCTCCCAGACGTAGTTGGGGAAGATGATGCCAGGGGGGTCGTCCCTCTCGAGCGTATAGGCACCACCGATTCCCGCAGATATGGACGTCGGCTCGTGGTCGCGCAGACTCTTCGCCGTCCCGAATTGTTTCACGGCGCGTTTGAACTTCTTCGTCGCCATCGCCAGGTAAAAGTTAAGCATGGCCTCATTCGTTTCCGCGTGTGCCAATATCGTCACGGCAACCGACTCGCCCTGCTGCTCGTTAAACCGTAGCACTCCGTTGATCCCACCCGTGTGGTCTGTGTGGTGATGCGAGAGAAACACGTGTGTGACCCTCCTCCCTGCCCTTTCACACACACTTGGCTCCCATGACGCTATCAACTCCGCCAACTGCTCCAGCGCCTGCAACGTAGTGTTCGTGCTCTCCCCCGCGTCAAACACCACCCAGCCCTCAAACGTCTCCACCACCACAATGTTCGCCAACGAGAACCCCTGCAACTGCCACGCACGCACTCCCTGGCGCGACAGACAAGACAGCCGGGAGGAGGCTTCGACGATTTTTGGAGGAACCAAGCCCGCGACAGTCGACCGCTGAGCTGCAGTCGAACGTGGAGCTGCAGTCGTCGCCGTGGTCAGCAACGGCGGCGGCTCCCTTCCGGCTGTAGGGGTGTCCCGTCCGGTGGTGGGGGCGTCCCGTCCGGCTGCGGGGGTGTCCAGTTGCGTTGTGGGATCCTTCATTACCCACATTCCAGATGGACCGACTGATGGCCCCGGGGGAGCGGCCAAAGCCTCGTCCGCCAGACGCTCCACGGTCTCCCCAGGACGACTGGCGGAAGGCTCCGATACAGGATGCACCGGCGACCCTTCCAATTGAGTCCAATCATCGCCAGGTTCCGCTTCACCAGGTGGCTCCATGTCTACGCCGGGAAGCTGGTCATGAATAACGGCGGGTTTGGTCGTGCTGACCACCGTCTCCAAGACTTCACTAATTGTTCCACTACCTGTATTACTACCTAAGGAAACGGCACCACCTACGGGAGTGGCTGTCGAAGTGCCAGTGTGATGGCCTTCGCGATCACCGGTCGGATGGGTGGTGTGGTTGTCCAAACCTGCTCTAGGGTCAGGCTCCTCTTGTAGCCTTCTAAGGAAGGTCATTGAATTTCGATCGGCAGGTACCGAGTCGAGCAGGTCCGCAGGACTCGAGGTTACATTGTCCGAAAACATGTGGGCAAAGAGTTGTAAACTCGTGTAATCGCTGGAAGGGTCGGCAAAGATTGACCCGCCCAGGGGGTCGCTGTCCGCATCTTCTACGTCATCCTTTGTGGGAGGCATCTTTTTGTCGGCGTCATCTCTCCATCGCATGCCCACTTCCTCCGTGGAGATCGTGGACCCCACGAGTATGATCATCTTCTTGAAGTGCAAATCATTATGCGCCTGGGCCACGAAGGTCGCGGCCGTTTGGTTATTTGCGGACAGATACGGACAGGCGTTGCCAGTCGGTCGCGAAATATATAGGTGTCGGTACAGGTAGAGGGGCACCAGCGCCGCCAGAGGCAGAAGGTAATACATGAAAAAACTTTGCGGCCGGGCAGTGCTGAATATTCGCAACACTGCTCTGGAGGAAAACTGCCACTCAGCATCGGACTACCGTTTCCGAAACAAAGCAAGCACGGGTGGGCACACAGGTGGGCAAGCACAGGAAGGCAGTAAGGCACAGGCGGGTGAGACACAGGCGGGTGATAGGGAAAAGTTAGTAGGGAGTGCGGTGAATTCTTTTGACGCTATGCGGGATTCGAGATTCGAGCGGAATATGGCTGGCGTCATTGATACAACTAATAGTCCACTTGCCGCCCTCAACCGTCAAGGTGCTGATGCCCCAGTTATGTGTCACAAAGGCCACATCCATGTCCTCTGACACCCCCAACAACTGGCGCCAGATTACGTCGAGGAACAAACCATGGCCGATTACAACCAACGCGTCCACGCCTTCCCCGAACTCACCCGATTGTAGCTCCCCAATGAAGCGCTTGGCCCGGTCCGCGGCCTCCACAACCCGCTCGCGCCCCCGATTCCACCACGGGCCAGACTTTGGTAGATATTCTGCAGTGATCGGAATATCGTCCCGGCAACTGGCTAAGTATTCGGTCACGCCATCTGGCTCCCGTCTCTGCTTGACAACCTTGGCTTCATCTGCGGGAGGAGTAGCTTTGCCTGCGGGAGGAGTAATTTCTGAGCTCGAGTTTAAATGCGCTCGCAAACGTGTGTGCACACGATTGCTCTTCAAAATTTCAGCCGCAGTCGGTCCAACAACTGCTGTTTTTCCACCGTCGCTCCCAAACAGACCTCCAACCTCGTGTATATGGGGAACAATAGCTATCTCAGTAACTCCTGGGAGTACAGCTGCCAGGATATCTGCAGAAGCAATTGCTCGTTTAAAAGGACTGCAGAGCACCCGTATTTTCAAGGGTGTACCCTGATCATCTTGAACCAAGGCCTGACCGATGGCCTCCCTATCCAGTGCATCGGTATCTCGAGCGGCATCTTGAAGTATATCGGATTCTGAATGTTTACGTCCGCCTGAAGCTTCAAGTTTATCAGAATGTTTCTTCTTCTGAGTATTCATGAAGGTAACAATCCTGCTCAGGTAGGATGCGCACCTGATACCTCCTTGTATCCCATTCCATGTTAGTTCGGGATCAGGGTCTCGGGAAGCTTCGTACGTGGCCTCCGGGTCCATGAAGCCCCTCAGGTTGTTAACACTCTCTCCATGCCGAACAAAAACCACCAACATTTTATGGAAATGCGCGTTGGGTGTGGTAGTTCATTTTCCTACCCACCCCCCCCCCCCCCC